GAGAGAGAGAGAGAGAGAGAGAGAGAGAGAGAGAGGGATCCGAACAAAATGAGAGGCAAAAATAGTTGGACCCAAAGAGAATCATAACAGAATAAAAATAAAGGGATAGTACAAAACAGTGCAAGACAAATGAATGGAATAAAATGAACAATAAAAAAACAAAACAAAGCAGAGCAAAGCAGAACGAAGCAGAACAACACAGAACAACACAGAACAAAGCCGAAACAATCCAAAACAAAGATGAGTTTAAACCCCCCAAAAAGACAAAAAGAAAGAGCCTCACAAAAAACAAAAGAAGAGGTAACAACGAGATGTACTCACATCCTCTAACTCCCAGCTCCAGACGTTTTCCCGGAGCTGCTGAGCCAGCCTGGCACCGGTACCAACCCTGATCCTCACACTCTGCTCTGTCCTTACTGAAGGTGAACGAGTTAGAGCTGTTGCTAGATGAACTGGCTAGTATTAGGTTCAAATCCTCTCGGATTATGCGCACGGGAGAGAGAGCTACTCCACCGTATGTGCATCGTAGATTGAGAGGATCGCCCTTCGTCACGTCAGCTTTAGTCCTATTTCTATTACTGACTGTCATCTGCTCCACCTGTGCACCAGCTGAGGGAAATTAGATTTACAACGTACGTGGGATAGAGCGCCGCTGTATGATAAATTAAATGCATTCTTTCAAATATCATTGTATTGGATAGAGCGATGTATAAATGCAACCCATTTTCATTGTATTGTGGATAGAGCACTGTATAATAAATGCTGTCTATTTCACTTTTTTGTTATTGGGTAGAGCGTTGTATTATAAAATGTAATGATATCTATCATTGTATTGGATAGAGCGATGTGTTAAATACAGATTATTATCGTACAGGATAGAGCACTTAATAAACGAAATGTATTAGTATTGTATTGGAGAATGAGCACAGTATAACACATGTAATTTATTATTTCTGAATTGCTATATAGACGCAATTTACTCAATAATTATTATTGAATGAGACACAGTACATGTACTTTACAAATGCAGCACATTATTAATGTGATGCATAGGACGCTATATAACTGCAATATGCTGTTATTATTGTTGTCATTAGCAGCAGCAGCAGTAGCAGCAGCAGCAGCAGTAGTAGTAGTAGTAGTAGTAGTAGTAGTAGTAGTAGTAGTAGTAGTAGTAGTATCATTATCATCATTATTATTATAGTTTTAGTGTACTTTTGACACACTTAAGTAATCATAGTTATTGTTATTATTAGCATTATTATGCCATTAATAATGTGTTTTTTGGTCATTATTGCTATTATTATTATCATCATTATCACTTTTGTCATCATCATCAGCATCACCATCATCACCATCACCATCATCACATCATCATTATTATTATTAATATTATTATTATTATTATTATTATTATTATTATTATTATTATTATTATTATTACTATTATTATTATTATTATTATTATTATTATTATTATTATTATTATCATTATTATTATCACCAACATCAGCTGCGAACCTCCTTATTGGCAGGCACCAGAAATCAAAATAAGGACGAGACTTCTAGACCCTTCCTGTGACAAGAGCACAATAAAAGAAATCCTCAGAACTAATGCCCTGTAGACAGTGGACTCGTATGCTGAAAACCCAATTCATGCATACACAGATGGGTCATCAACAAACGCTACACAGAATGCTGGATACGGATCCATCATCAAATATCGAAACATCACTGGAGAGAAGAAGCAGACCCGACTATTTGGCCCATGTGGAACATACAGCTCCAACTATGACACAGAGAGAGTTGCCATAGTAAAGACCCCGGAGCAGATCACGTAAGACTTGTTTGAAGACGCAGTAACACCAGGGGATGTTGTTGTCTTCTCTGACTCAATGTCAGTACTTCAAACGGTCGAGGGAGGAGGAGACTACAGATGAGATGGGAACATTCTCAGGCTTGAAAAAACATATGGGCACTTCCTATGGCGTCCGGGTCACACTGCAGTGGGTGCCTGGCCATTCTGAAGTACCAGGGAATGAGTCTGTAGACCAGCTATCAAAGACTGGAGCAAGCCTGCCCCAGACAGACACAGCCGCCTCTTTGCAAACCTGCAGAGGGATCATCCAAGCCAAAAGCAGAGACGAGTGGCTAAACAGATGGGACAACGCAGAAACAGGAAGACCTCTTTTCTGGTACATGAACAAACCAAACCCCAAAGACCCATCGAATCTCTTATGTAGAGCTGATCAGACTTTGATCTTCAGAGAGCGCACAGGACACTTACACACCAACAAGCACATTAACAGAATTAACCCCATGTGGGAACCCCATTGCAGACACTGTGACTACCACGAGGAGACCGTTGAACATCTTCTCCTTCACTGCCCAAACCTGGCAGTTCTTCGATGCAGTCTCCTACACACACCTACAGACTTACTAAGCCTGCTCTACTCTGGTGTTGACCAGATGACAAGGACATGTGGTTACTTGAGGGAGG